AAAAAAAATGGAAATATAGATGAATAAAACAAAAAATACAACTGCAGTCCACATGTGGACTGCACGGTCGTCAATGGGTTAAACAGGAAAACCCAGAGAGCACACTGATGAGACTGTTTTCAGTAAATAGAAATGGTTTATTGGACTGCTCTTCAATCCAATAAACCATTTCTATTTAATAAAAACAGAATAAATGTTGCTCTAAGAACAATGCCGAATACCTTACCTCGTCGCTCATCCCTTTTTGAACCACCATATGAGGTAGACTCCACATCTTTCCTGCGATCTTTGTCTTTGGAGCTTTCCTGTAAGCTCGATTTCTTATTCCCTTATCTTTTTATAACCTCAACATTGAATTAGTCGGGTGAACATATACTGAAATTTATTACCTTGCTAGATTTTTCATTTCCAGATTGACTATCAGGTTTGCTTGCAACTGTTTGCAGTCTCTCGAACAGATCAAAAAGCCTTAAAAGATAGCTCTCAGGGTTTGACTGGTATCGTTGATCCCTTACACATCATACTAATATATTGCAATATTTCATATTAGGAACCAAGTATTGGGGGAGAAAATTTACGCAGTTAGCCTTCCCCAATCCACTCTCCCAGATTTCGTATAATGAACAAGCACACTTCTTATAAAAGCTTCTTCACCCGTGTTGTCCAAATACTTTCAAATGCAACAATCTTTTATAAAGTGCGCAAGGTGGAACGAACACTAACCAATCCACGAATTTATTCGTGCATTTTCCCAAAAACAAATTAAGATCGTCCTTCATCTGATTCTTTTCCTTTTTGTTTGCAATCATAACCATGATGTATTCGGGAAGTTCATCATCAACATAGACGCCGAGTTCTTCTAATTTCGCTTTGATGGCAGCCTGAACAACTTGTTTCATTGATGGCTGACCGATAATTCGATCGATGTACAAACCTTGAGCTTCTTTGACACATCTACGCCCTGTCCAACAGCCATTAGTTCTACCTGAATGGGCAAAACGTTAAAAATGATGAGCCACACAGGAAAGGCAAAAGGAAGTCAAAGCGGTTCTATAGCGATGACGTCTCATGCGGTAAAGCTAAACCTGAACAAACAAAAAGAAAACAAACAAACAAAATTGTCGATTAGGCCCAAAACGATCACCTAGCCAGGTTTCTCCACTTCATACGAAAATATATCGAAGTACAAAAATGATATAAAACAAGTGGTGTATTTATTACAATCAATGAGCGGAACAGAAAAAAGGCCATATCGATTAGTATGAACGAGCTAATAGGCGGACAATGGAGAGTCCGACCAAGTGAACCGGATTCCCTTGCGAATGCGACAAAATGAAGAAGAACGGACGAAAACTTGTCCAAGAAAAGCAATGGTCATGAAGCTGAGAAGAATTACGAAAGATTGACTCAACAATCTTTTCAGATCCGACATATTGAAGCAATAACATCGTCAAATATTCGGCCTACTACGAAATGTCCCAGAGAACTTACCCGAATAAATCTCAAGACAAGAATTGGAACCACCAACCAGGCCGTCAGATTGCACACTTTGACTGGGCCCCTACTCCCTCAAAGACCTAGAACGTGAAAATACCAGTCTGTTCGTTGCTAAGGCTTGGGAATCATCTCCAAGCGGTGAGCCCCTGCTCATAGGTCCGTAATCGCTCGCGTGATGTTTCGTATCCTACGAGCTATTGCGACGCAAATGTTCTAACCCACGCCCTGCTTTTGAAAGGATTTTATCCCTTCGACATCCACCCGGTGTTTTTTCCGGGTATACTATGCGAACCTAGCAGTGATTATTTTGCTAATACTCTTTTGTTTCAGGGCGATATGTCAGAATCTACAGAAGATCTCAAACACGATGGTAATCGTTTCTTCCAACAAGGACGATATCAGGAAGCAATTGATGCCTATAGTAAAGCGATTATTAGAAATCCTCATGTCTCTACGTATTTTACTAACCGGGCACTGTGTCATATGAATGTATGTTGCATCTTTTACTTATGCTTCATTAGTATAGTTTCTCACTCACACCTGTTTCAGCTGAAAGCATGGAACAAAGCTGCTGAGGATTGTTCCAAAGCTGCATTCTTGGACAGGAATAATGTTAAGGTTAGAAAATACTATGAATTATGACCTAATTAGAGGTATTTAAAGCTGAGTAGTTTGAAGCGTCAGGTGTTTATACAGTTTGTAGGCATCAGTTCTTTCCGTTGCTTCTTGTTTTTTGATATGCGCTTTAATTTGCCCCGATGTGAACTTTTCATGTCAGAGCGGTGGTCGATTGTTAAGAGAATGAAACGGCGTCGAACGGCTTTTCATCAATAAGCGCGATCGATTTGGCGCAGTCATGGAATGATGATCCCTAGATATGATATGAAGAAGCGCGGAAGGGCAATATAGATGATCGCAAACGAAATTTGAAGAAATTTGCAATTTGCGACAGCCGGTATTTTCATTTTAGCGTCAAGGGGCGTTGTATGACAGTGGATCAAGGGTAATAGTGTGGATCATGCATGTCCTGACAAGGGAGAGGAGACATGAATTCATGAAAACGCCTTCAAAGCCAATACCTTCCCGTTTTGGTCATAATTTTAGATTTCAGGTGAATTATTGTTATCTATAGAACAGAGTAGATTGAATTGCCTAGCATTATCCGTAGGTAATATGATGAATTTGTGATCTAAACAACTTAGTTCTTCTAATCTTGATATCTCTCGAGTCCCATCCAATCCTATTTCGAATGACTGCATTCCAAAGTTGTTGAAATCTAACTTCATCGCTGAGAGGCTAATGTATGTTGAAGTTTAAAGAGGGCATTAATTGCCTAGAGCTCGAGAAATTCGATTCAATCTCGAACAGTTTCGATAGGTCCGAAAAGGAGCTCAATCGAAACAAAATTTAGCTCTTTTTTGAAAGTATATTCTTCTGAGAACGCAATAGTGCTCTGAATAAACACAAAATCTCCAAATAAGCTAATGAAGGGAAGAGGCGTTGCTCTACCAATTTACATTAAATGGTTTTTGAAATCATGAAATCGGCTTCTATTGAGTAGTTCGATCGGATTGGTTCGAAGTGGGGCTGGTTGTGGAGTGCAGCATCAGGAAGCAGCTAAAGGCTATTTTAAAACAACGAAAATCACTGCTAAAAATATAGCTGTGTACCTTTCATTAAGGCCTATTACTTCGGTGGACGTGCAGCTATTCAGTTAGGCAACTATAACGAGGCTATACGGCTCATCACGAAGGCTAAGGAATTGGCCAGCAGTCAGAAAGTAAGCTTATTCGAAAACTTGCCACTGGTGTTTATAGAATCGTGATTATTTTGTTATTATATGTTTTCATGTAGATGAATTTTGGAGATGAAATTCACGCTCAAATGCGTCTTGCACGCAGGGAGAAATTTCGGGTGGAGGAGGAGAAGCGTGTGAAGGAAGAGGGTGAACTCCAAATATACTTGAGGAGGTGAGAACTTCAGCTCTCGTTACTTTACACTTATGAAATGACGTTTTCACTCGATTCATTTGAAATGCTCCTGCTTTGCAACAAATAACCAATGTTACAGATTAATCGAAGAAGATGTGAGCCGACGGATAGCCGAGGTAGTTTCAACTCAGTCTACTGCCGAGTCCAGCGGCGAAGGTGAAGGGACTCACGACGTAGAAGTAACAGATAAAGTGGAACAGATTACACAGGAAGGAGAACAGCACAAAGCGCAGCTCGACTCGTTGTTCGCACAAGTGAGATGAGATTTCTTCCTACTGCTGAATGTGGTAGCGCCCACCCTTTTTTCTTGTTGTTTTGAACGTTCTGTTTGGGCCGCAGCGATGACTGATGCAATGTTTGGTGTGTCGCTTATCCTCAAGTTCGCTGCCTCAATTTATTGTTACTGGGCTATATACTGCTTCCATTGGGTCAGTGATTGGGATTTTTGGATACTGACAGATGGGATGCTAGAATGACTAGGAAACTGTTGTTTCACCTCGGATTCTCCATTTGAGCCTTTGATTGTCTTTGGGTGATCAAAGAACGACTGGCCACTTTAAATTCTGAGCGATTGACCATTTGTCGTCAGTATTTTTCGATGTACATGTCTCCCGTTACATCCGTAGAAGTGCCAAGCAATCAAATGAGGGTATCGAAGCATTCTCTCGACAAACGGGTGCCATATATAATAGGCGATCGATAGTGTTCAGGGAAGGTCCCTTTTCATAATGTTTTGCCCCTAATCATTTTCAAAGAGACTGGGCCTGAAATCAGTTTATCTTTTGTCTTGGAAACTGTTTCCACCGCTTGTTTATGGTTTTTCTGTGAAGACATTTCAGGGTTTGCATTTGAATTTCATGGTTTTGCACAGAAAACTATATTTTGTAGATCGACGATCGACGTCGGAAACGGGAAATACCAGATTTTCTTTGTGGAAAGATCTCATGCTCCCTTCTCCAAGATCCAGTGATCACTCCGTCAGGTATAACCTACGATCGCGCTGACATCAAGCAGCACCTTCACCGAGTTGGTAGGTTGACTCTGTTTTTGATTTTTGCAAACAAAATTTTCCCATTTCTGATATTTTGACGTTCTTCTCCTGCATGAACTTCTTTTGAAACTACCGTTCAGTTTATGGCATTGATTTTACCAGGTCATTTTGATCCTGTGACACGTGCTCCTCTCACCGAGGCCGACCTTATTCCAAACCTCGCTATGAAGGAAGTTTTGGAACATTTTTTGATCGAGAATCCTTGGGCTAAATATGAAGACCTGTTGAGTTAAAATTCGAATACAGGTTTCAATTGGATCTTTCGTTGTGATAGTATTGGCATGCAATTAAATAGAGATTCTAATAACTTGTACATTTGTCTTACTCGAATTTTGTTCACGCATGTTTCTAATCACTTTGATTTCGTTGACGTCGTATATAGGTCTCACTGATGCCATGTACATATGATGAGATTTTTTTTTTGTTTTTTGAGTGTTTCAGTTGGAGTACAAAAGCATATTTAATGCATTCCTAAGGTCAAAACGCGGATAGTCGACCCTTCCTCCACTTAGTCACTGTTTAGCCACATCAATGTATCTTTTGGAAATGTGCTGATTGGACACTCATTATAATTGCATTGGACCATAATTATGCTCGAAATGAAATGAATATTTCAAATCAAGCATTAAGTTTCAATTAGAGCTGTCTTATCCAGCCGTAATCTTTTCCACTAATTTTCGAATATTTCGAATTTTTTAGTTGGAATAAAATCAAAGCTTGGCAAAGCTAGCTTATGATAATTCAGCTGGTGTCACCGCTTTCCCAGCTAACATGTCTGAGGCCAAAAATCTTAACCTTCTCAACCAGTAATTGCTACATCTAACCCCAACCGGTAACTGTGTTGTCGTTTTATTTCATTTCATTGAACGTGTTGCTATGCAATATAAATTTTTGACTTCTATTACCATTTTGCCCTATGTTAGCTTCTGTACTTCTTCAAATAACCTCATTCCTCTTTTGATGCACTTATATCAACAGCTCGCTAAATTCATGTTTACTTTTTATCCAATTCTATGAGTCTGAGAGCAAATACATGATCATATTGGCAGGGCTGTTCTTCTTTTCGTTCTTATCCGAATTCATCTTGAAATATCTTCTTTACGGTTGCTCTTAACATGATATCAATTTATCTAGAATCACCACAAGGGGGAGGAATGAATAATTTTGAGGTTTACCAAACCCATTCATAATGAAACCCTTATTTTCGATGTTTACACGCTATAGCTGTTCAAGGAGTGGTGAGTTGGTTGAGACATTGTTGATTATCTTTAATTCTCACTCCTTTTTATACAAGGGTCATCCTCCCATTCATAATGAACCTTATTTTCGATGTTTACAATTGCTTTGGAAAATCAGTGGTCTGTGGCCTTTTGTTTCCATACATTCTGAATAGCCTAATCGAACTTTTTCATGAAATCTTGTTGAGTAGCCGATCACTCATTTCTGTCAAAAGTGAGTCCTTTCAAGTACTGCCTAGTGTATGGGAGTACGTTACAAGTAATGCATAGAAATGCACTAATAAATCGAAAGTGCGAGCTCCTCACAAGTTTCGTTTCTAATGGTAACGCCATCCATGAATTAGCTCAATCACTGAGAAGATACAGTACTTCCGAAGAATGGTCACACCCTCATACTGTGGCTACTCTTCATTAGTTTGGCGCCCAGTGCCTTCTTTGTATAGCGATATATCAATAGTTTTCGATCTTTACTTTACAGTTTCCATATGCTCTGAAACTGTCAAGACCTCCCCATGGGACCGTCAATTTATTACTTGTTCAATGTTTGATCCCAAGGAAAGTTGTAGAGCTCGGAGAAAAAACCTGGCTAAAGCGACGTCTTCGTTGGGGACCTTAATTAGCAAAGATGAACATGCCTCCTTTTGTCAGTGGTACATTCTCTTTCTGACCCGAATCGTTTCCATTCTTTCATTCCTATTCACTTTTTTAGATTGCTATTTCAGAATTATCCTCATTCTAAAGACTTTAACTCAAATTATACTATACCCGAAGCTACTGTTCCTTATACATCATCTCTGAGTCTGAGTTATGATAAAATCTACGTCTCGCTTCTGCTTTTCTTTTGGGCAGAGTCTGTATGTTTCTCTCATTAATGCGGTCCCTAGACAGGGTGATTACTCATCGTCAAGCATCAAATTTAAATGGGTTTGAAGTGAAGTACTAGGGAAATTGGTTAGTAATTTACTAGTAGTGCTCGAATTGTTGCAATTTCCGACTACAACCTATCCTGCGTTTTTAAATGGGCCTTAACTCTTAAGTTTATTTGATGTGCGCATGTTTTAGGTTGCTCTGTCCTTATGAGTATGTCTTCGGTTCAGCTTCCTATGAGAATCTCATGGATTGGATGTACGGAAACGAATCGCTATACATTCGTCTCCTCTTCGGAGAAGCTTAAATGATTTTAAAAAATGCAAATTCTGGGGCAACCATATGAATTGGAAGGCAAGTAAATCTGACCAATCAGCTGCCTACCTGCCACCCATTTCGGATATTTATCAACAAGGAGTACATGTTGGGAATCCGTGTTTTTGTTGATTGTTTTGCTTTCTATTTGCTAATTGGTCGAAAACATATTCAAATACTCGTACTACTTACAATAACTTCTATTGACTTTCCCACTTCAATCGTTTAATTCTGATTTTTGATATGGTGTTTGAATGGCAGAATTATAGCAATCGCTTTTCGAGGCATATTAATTGAAACGGCCAATCCCAGGTGGAGCACTTTCGTTGGTCTTTGAAGGTATGGTCAATGAACTCATTAGCTGTGATGCTCTTGACCACTCTCTTTTCGAAATATGTTAGTGTGGTTGGCGTGGTGAGGGCCATCAGAAAAGTTTTAAGAGTTCTCGTGAATCTCACGTCATACAGCTGTTTCTCATTTTGAAACTGGTTGCAGCTGCTTCTGTAGCTTTGAGGAGCGCAAGTATAAAAGAAATGGCAGGCTACCTTATCAGTTACTGGGTTGCAGTGTGGAAGATTCGGGTAAACATTTACCCATCAAGCATTGGTTGAAAAGTACTCCTTGGCTTCCGCGTAGATATTTCCCACTCTTACAAATTTGATAAGAACGTCATCTTGTGAAGGATACCAACAAAATTAAATAGGACCGATGAGATAAATATACAAGGGTAAGTGAAAAGTGTTTTGGGGTAAGCGTTTAAGCACATGTGACCGTCCGCTTCCAATCTTTTCAGCCCTAATTGATGTATTTCGTAGCTTCGGCAACGGCAGTGACCTTGATTTGTCTTCACTTGTCCTACCATTTCTTTTTCCCTTTTTTCGACCTCTAATCGATTTTGCGGCGACCAGCCGATGTTGCGACTTGCTTTTCTCAATTTTGAACTTACAAGGAACAATGATCTTGAAATGGAAATCGAGATGTGAGGAGAATTTGGGTTTTATTTACTGTTGAGTTCCTAGCTTGTATCAGTAGCTTTCATGTTTGTATTGTATTCCAGTGGCTTTTCCTCAAGATTTCAGAAATTCGTTATTCGCAGCTGACAAAATGCATCCTAGCCACAGTATTGCATTAGAAGATACAGTAAGTAGTGCAAAGTATCAACGGGTCATAGCAGTAACTAGGAAAATCACCAGTAATGGCCGATTTCGCCTCTGTTACTTTTTCATCCTCCTTTTCATCCTCTAAATTTGCTTACCCTCTAGCTTCAACGCTTAGCCAGTGTGGGCCGGTGTTTAGGCTGCAGTAAGTCTCCGTTATCTCTTCTCGGTAGTGGAGCTTGGAAACTGATGTTCTTTTTTTAGCATTAATGCTCTATCTAATGTTATCTATCGAATAAGACTGACGAAGTGGAAAAGAATGAAAATGTGGTTGTGCCATACGCTATTTCTGGCCTCTTAATTTATATGGTCCAAGAAACATCAATGGGACTGGGACTTGCTTGAGTTTGCCGAGCCTTCCATCCCTCCGAAATCTGTTGGTAAAGTGAGACCTGCCTGGGGAAACGAAAGCATAAGCTTATGCCTATGCTGACTCCACAAGTCATGGTTCAGCCGAAGTACTCATTCAGATGTGGAGGTATATGTGCTCATACGGGTGTTCAATGCGGTGGAACATCCACAAACGGCGGTGATCAACCCCAAAAAGGAATCCTTTACCCATCTGTGAGGAAAAAGGCGTACTAAAATTTGTACGTCTGCCTGAATTCTGAATGTTGTGATTAACGAATGAAATTGTGATGCGACTCAACTCAAAGAAGGTTGCTCGGATTTAAAAGTTCGATTTCTGTTTATCTCCTCTGGTTCACTGTAACCACTTTTTCATTGGAGCGATGTCCCCAGCCCCTTTTCTGCTCCAGCTCTCGTTCACGTGACGGTGATGTGCTAGGATAGATAAGTTACCGTTGTCGTGGTGTTATTTTCAACAAATGTGTCAGATTTTTTTGCTGGAACAGGAGAGAGGATGGCGAGGGCTGGGAGGACTGATTAGGAGATAGGGTGCTATCGTGCGTCGGGAGAAAAACTTTATTTTTATAAAGGTCCGCATAAATTAAGCCTGCCAACCAATTTTCTCTACCGAATACGCCGGATGCGAGTGAACGGTAGAGGTTCCTCCTCGTAGATTATTCCTGATGAAGGAAAACAAGAGGTATTATGGAGCCCATAGCAGAAATAACAAAAAAAAAAGAGGAAAACGAAAGTGTGAGGCGAAGAGGGAGTACATCGAATAGGTTTGTGACGAGGACAAAATTTGTTTGGAAATTCTAGTGAGAGACTGAATTTAATCAGAACTGAAATAAAATTAAAAATAACCAGAAAGAGGGTGCTGTGCTAGTCGAAATTCACAAGGTATTCAGTGGGGTCACTGAACCTTGGGAAGCATAGAAAAAATTGAGGGCAAAGGAAAACATAAAAGCGTGGTATATATCGAGACAGGTAGGGGAGGGGTCAAAGTGTGAAGGCATCACTTGGTAGAATGTCTACTTCCCCTAGTTCGACTTGCATTCAGAACCGTAGTGCGGTATCATTCGCTGTATAAGTCACCACTTTCAGCCACATACAGGGTGCGCCAAAATTACTTGCTCAAACTTGCAGAGCTCGCCTTATTGATTTAATGCAGCGATGATCTCTCGATTAGCAGCGAACATGTTAAACAACTCTTCCTCGATCAAGAACACAAGTTTCGATCCTCAGCTCTTACTCCTTCCAAAATGGTTGGATCTCATCCTCTCAGACCCGTTATCATTCAGTTACACCAGATGGGTCACTGTTCCAAAACCACCGCAAAAACTCTACCAATCAGCAGAAGGGCTGTGGACTTCACCATCAAACGATTTGGGGAGTTCGTTACTACAGAAGACCACCCAGGCAGGGAAAGAAAAACAAATGCAACATCCACTAGAATTGGTAATGTTGTACGAGCTATGGTGCGACGCAATCCGAAGGGGTCGATGAGGAAGTTTTCCAAAAAGCTGGGAATAAGTCATAATTCTGCTCGCCGTTTAGTTTGTAGAGGGGCTGGGATGGACACCTTATTGATGCCGAAAGATGCACCTTCTCACTGCATCCATGAAGAAAAAGTGGATCCAGAAGTGCAAGATGGTCCTCCAACGGTTCGCGTCGGCGCACCACCGAGATATTGTCTTCTCCGATGAGAAGCTGTTTACGTCATAGTCGACATTCAACCATCAAATCGGTCGAGTGCTCTGCTCGATAGCTAAAGAATCTAATGAGATGGGGAGAAGTCATGAACTCTCTGGACTTGAAGAAAAAATCATGGTTTGGGCAGCGATCACCCACAAAGCGAAGTCCCCGCTGGTTTTCATCGACAACGATGTAAAAATCAAGACGGAAACTATTTGGAGAGTGTGCAGAAAAACGTTTTGCTTCCATGGACAAAATATCACTCCGGCTGTAGACCGTTTGTGTTCCAACAAGATTCAGCACCGGCTCATAGAGCGAGGGTGATGCCGAGGCGCCCTCTCGGGATTTATCAATGTTCAGGAATGGTCATCTAATAGCCTTGATCTGAATCCAATGGATAAATCCGTGTGGTCGTAATTGGAGAGCAAGGCCTGCTCTAAGCAACCCCACTCAATTGATTCATTGAAGATGGACCTGCTCAGAGCATGAGAAGAAACACCTTCGGAGTACCTTCGCGCCACAGTGGACGCCTTCCCCTCAATTCTGAGGGCCGTGTCCGAGCCTGTGGAGGGCTTTTCGAGATTCGTATCTGGTATGTCTAATGGCTCGATATAAATAAAGTGTTGCAGAAAAGTTAGTCCTCAATCTATAGTTCAACCGATTTTACAGCGGTGGATACTTGAGCAAGTAATTTTGGCGCACCCTGTAGACGAGTCGGGTATCAATCAGCTCACCCGGATGAGCTGGAGGGCTTGGATGGCATGAACCGGTCTCGTGCCGGGATTCGATCCCCAGGCGTGTAGTACTGCGCACATTCCACTGCTCCAACTCGGCTCTCGATCTTTATTCTCCGATTTTACATATCGCCTCAAAAGGGCGTGGACATTTTTACATCACACCTATTTGCATAGGCAACACATATACTGGCAATATCCTAGTAAACTGACTGAAGAGGTCAGCTGGTTCTCGACGACTTAAGCTTTTTTTATCCATTTACAACTTCATTCCCTTCAAGATGCGATTTTCGTGCTCGTTAGAGTTGCGCTGAAGCTTTCGTCGGTTGATTGGTACCAAACTCGTCTAAAAAACGTAATATCTTGGTCAAGGCTTCAGAGAAGAACATCCACGTCTGACTTTTTGATTGGCTAGCCGCCGCAAGTTATTGTATAGGCGTTATATGCATTCAAAAGCTACTTTGATTCTGAATGGATGTCGGAATCCGAGCGCATCCTTGAAACCGGGATTGTTCAACGCCAGAACCTTAATTCGTTATCTTTTTAATTTATATGCTCTGAATGCACCAGTTTTCGAGCACACAAGGAACCACTTGATGTCTTTTTCGGAGTATTTCAAGGGTTTCCGATCAAAGAAAGTTCCGGGACCGGTTTATGGTTTTGCTTGCTCGTGTAGGGAAACTTCTCGTGAAATTGGTTTGGAGAGCGCAATAGTACTCCATTAGTGCGGGCCCCTACTTATTTGTAAAAAAGTGGGACGTACCTGTACCACCTTCTTGTTGCTGTCAATAAAAAGTATATTCGGCTGATGTCTGATGGGATGTAAAAAGGAATATGGCAATGTCAGATGTGGTGCAGTGCTGGTGGAACTGGGTAGATGTGGGGATCGAACTCCATATTTCCCGATTTTGTCATATCAAGAGGTTGTGTCACACCGTGCAAAGCTTCTTTATGAGGAACAGTATTTGCCCATGTATGGCTCATCTTCTAATATTTATAGAAACTGTTTTGAATCGGCTAGACCAGAAGAGCGCGGTCATATATCGGACGGGTTTACT